ACCATTATGCATTAGCAGCATATGGGAGCATAATGCGGCATAATATGATAACTTTTGGGGTTAGTCAAAGACCATGATTGAGATACGAGAGGTACCTGGTTCAAGGCCTGCCTGGGAGCGGTTTTTCCAGCCGTGCTGCTACCCACAGTCAACTGGGAACTTGTGGCCAGGCACAAGGGGTACATGGATGCAGCTAATGGGGTCGTTTTCGGCACTTGTGCCAGTGGTTGTGAGACTTATCCACTCACCCCCACCGTTAGGCGCTGCATCTGCCGCTAGGGTTTATCGGGTGTTAGCGGCCGTCGTGAGTTCCCTTCGGGAACGGACACGATAATAATTTAATTAGCATAAAATAGCATAATTCTGCAATTTTTTCAGCAATGCGAAAAGCATAATTTCACGAAAATATAAGCATAATCCGTCAAGGCCTACTGTATGTGTCCCGTACCGCACAAATGAGTATGTAGAGCCTACGGTAATAATAATAATAGTACAGCACGCATATAATAATAATAGTACAGCACGCATATAATAATAATAATAATAATAATGACAGTTCGCATTTCACTCATTGCATGAGGTCAACGCATCTGTTAACAATTTCGAGCCAAGCAGCTCTATCAGAAGCAGATTGCACAGCATCCAGAAGCGACAGATTAATGCATTGTAAGTCTTTCTTGACAACGTCGATCCATCTCAGACGTGGCCGTCCTCGGGGTCGTCGTATGTCTGTTGTGTTGATCGACATTAGGAGGGCTTGGAAAGAGGACGATTCTTCGCCTTCCCTCACTACATGGCCGAACCACAGCAGTCTCCGTTGCCTGCAGACTTGGGATAGTGGGGTCTGCTCGGTTCTGGCATACAGCGCTGTGTTCGAGATTCGTTGTGGGTACGTGATACCAATGATGGTACGTAGTTTCTTCCGGTGCCATACATTGACGACGTCGGTTAATGTTTGCGATAAGGTCCAAAGCGCACAATTATACAGCAAGACAGGCAATATCAGGCAGGAAAACATACACAGCCTGGAATTCAGGTTGTGGCGTTTCCATGGAATGCCTGCAAATGCCCGATTTGCAGCAGACACTCTAGCTGCTATGTCTTCTGCTGTGCCTAGCATACTCCCCAGCAGCTTCACCGATTTCCAGGAATCATCTTCCTTGGTCACAGTGAAATATTGAGTTTTTGCCACGTTCAGCTTCAGATTGTCATCCGAGAAAACGGCACGCATATAGCTCATATGAAAAATCAAATGAGGGTCATGCATCTGTCGACAACGTCGAGCCAGTGCGTTCTGTCTGAGGCAAGTTGCTCCGCTTCCAAAAGAGACATATTGAGAAGTAAAAGGTCATTCCTAATGTTGTCTACCCATCTGGTCACTGGGCGACCTCTGGGCTTCTTTATATCTGTTATATTCATTGCCATGTGAAGGGCTTTGTACGACACAGCGTCCTTCCCTTCACGAATGACATGTCCAAACCATAATAAGCGCCGGCGTCTACAGACTGCACTTATTGGGCATTGAGCAGTTTTAGCATAAAGAGCATTATTCGAAATTTTATTGGGAAAGATGATTCCAAGTATGTATCTGAGTTTACGGCGGTGCCATACATCAATTTTGCTTTCTAAGGCTTTTGTTTGCCAGTTCTCCTATGGAGCCTACGGTAGCATAGATCTAATTATTTGGGACTCCTATTGTCATCGTCATCGGTGGTAAACATGCAGCAGGAAATAGCGGTGGTAACAACAGGCTGGATAGAAATAGCACAACAGGAAGAAAAGGAGATAACAGTGTCTGTGAGCATAGTCCCAATCTCTACTCCCCCCCCCTTCCCAATCTGTACTCTTGTGTACCATCATCCTTCAATGCGACGCTCTCTCTGTACTCTCTTGTACCATCATACTTCAATGCGACGGACCCTGCGATAGGTGGTCAGCCTTTGGGTCATCCTAATAAAGTTATTATTATTATAGACCTAGATAGAGCATCTAGAGCAACATAATAAATATATATGTCGGGGAGAAGATGGGGATTGTAGTGTTGGTTGGTTGGTTTTCAATTCACTTCGCACATTCCAACGGGATGACGACCCAATAAAATGACGGCGAAGGCTAAGCCTAGAAGTGGCTATGGAAGCACATAGTAAAAAAATAGGATACTAATAACTGCGAGTAACCGGTGTGAATGAATATGTGCGTAGGTTTCGTTAAGAAGGAGATTCAGGGGAGTAAGGCACCAGCTTTGGCTTCTGGGTGATAGCCCCTTGGGTGCCAATCTCCGACCATTGACCGAGTGCTGAAGAAGTTTATTATTATTATTATTATACGCATTCCCGCGGCAGCGTAGTAGTAGAAGAAGTTTAGTAGAAGAAAAAGAAAGAAGCCAATTTGCTACGACTTTGTACGACTGTGTCGCATTGGGCGTGGAATAATCAGCATGTTTTAGATGGCAGTGTCGTAATGGTGACGGTTTGACTTTAAAAGGCCTAGGATGATGTCGCATGATCGTTCAAATGTTTGGGGATGTGTCACTAATAGGCCGGGAAAGTAAGGAACTGTTAGTTTGCAGTGTTTTAATGAGCACGGTTGTTGCATAAATACAATGCTAAGATCATCGACAAAGGGCTATGAGGAAAAGCAAACTGACAAGGGTGACAGTGTTGAAGCTCTGAGCAGACGGCGTCGATAGGAGGGTCTACACAGAGGGTAGAAGATGAGATAAGAGAGAACCCGCCACCTCGAGAGTCGCCGTGCAGCTGATCCAAGCAATCACTGCAGAGTATGGCTCACCAGATTTGTCGGAGACCATTGCAGGTAATCCCTAGAGGAGAGCGGCGGAAGCTCGACCAGTGCCACTGGTTGCTGCTAAAACCACAGAGATGAGGTTCCGCGCTTGACCTCCTTGACGCGCAGCTCATATCGCCTTCGTTTTTCTCGTTCATGACGCTGGAAGCAACCGGTGAAGGAAGAGGATTGATTTGAGGGAGCAAAGGGGTTGAAAACCCGAATACCGAGAAATATCGCGAAAAAGGCTCTCTCAAATCGACTTCCTCAAACATTATTTGCCGCAACATCAAGTCGAGCCTGGTCGTCTGTGGAGGCAGTCTTGTAGTGGAGTTGCTCCCCAGATGGCGCTTGCAAGTGTCGCTCAATGGCGACACTATTTGCGACACGTTTGAACAGTCTCAAATCAGTAATTGTCCCAAGTCAACTGTCTTCATTGATCATGTAAATACCAACCTATTTTTTCCATCGTACAGACTTTCAACCCGGGCTGAACTCACATGTAAACCCAGCCTACCAGTTTTTTTTCAGTTAAAGTATCAAACTTTTTTTAAACTTAAATATGTGAGGTAAGAACACGAAACGTAAAAAAAAGGCCCAACACTGCCTTTCGAATAACAAACGTACCGTAGCACACATCGTATGAGAGAAAGAGCAGCAGCTTTTATTTAAGGGAGGGATAGTTCCACGTAATCCGTGGGTACTTTACATGTGTGTACCACGTGATGCTCAGTGACCCACGTACAGACGTTTTCTGATTCACGACATGCGGTGTATGGAGGGTCACCCACGTTCCGCTAGAACGTGGGTGAAAATCAGATTGTAACGCATTGTGGCAGCTGTGAGGGTGCTCAGCTGAAGAAGTTTCCGAAGCACGAAATCAAAATATTGGATGAGCTTCTTAGGCCCGGGTAGCTTCGTCTTTGACCAGGTTTGGGCATTTCGCTTCATGCTTTTGTTTGTTCCGTGTGACTAAACACAACATGGCAACGTGGGTGCCCTTCATCCACTTTACGTGGATCACCCACGTAGATCCACACGTTTCCGTTACGTGGGAACTGAACCTCCCTATTTTAGTGAATGAAAAACGTAAAATGTTTGGCACCTGTGAAATCAGGGGATGGCCCACGCCTGGTAAAAAATGCTACGGTATATCGTGGCAGATAGTAAAAGATGGTGAAAGGATCATAGAGATGAAAGAGAGAAGCACACATCTTATAGACACTTTGAAGCACCGTACGAGTTAAGATATCTTATTATATTGGGGAATATTATGTTGACCAGGACAAATTTAGAATGTGATATAAAGGCACCTTGCTTGATAACACGTTTTCGAATTCGACAGCATGTTACAATGCGAGGATACGCACAGTCCGTTTTGTTTAGAAGGCGATAAGAAGAGGCCCCAGCTTTGGCTGCTCGATGCTAGCCGCCTCTACTGCGTGCTCTACCACCACGGAAATAGTGATAGCGGTTGGGTGCGTGTTCGCTTCCTTGTGCCAGCTCTCTGCGTTGCACAGGCATGGCTAGGCACTCTGGCACAGACCCCTACTTCTCATGGCCACCACCATCCGGTCACGTCTGGTGCCTCGTCGATGTCAGTGGTATCCAGCATAGCAGGCTGATACATCAGGTAGCATGGCATGGCTATGTTGTAGATATGTCACCTACTATGTGCCATGCGCTACCTGATGTAACCACCTGCTATGTCGGATACCACTACCCATGCATCCACTAGGCGCCAAGTGCGAACTGATGATTGTGAGATCTGCGCCAGAGTAAAGTTGCAGCGTAGAGAGCGTGTGCGGGCAGGTGTGTATCTAGACTAGCACCATATTGCTAGGTGTGTACCGCCATATTAATCAAAGAGATGTAGCCGATGATTGTATTGCAAAAACGTTTCCATCAGCTCGATTAACATGCATGATATAATAATATTATGATATCTTTATTAGGATGACCCAGAGGCTTGTCGCCTATCAAGGGGTTCACCGCTTTGAAGGATGTACATGTACATGTATATGTACATGCACATGCATGACGATCTAGATAAAAAAGAATGGAGGGGGTGGGGGCTGAGCTTTTAAGCTCTCCGTTTATTTATTTCCCTACAAACGCTGCCTTCTTGTTACTTCTGTTACATTTTTCTCCTTTCTTTTCCGTAAAGAGCTCATCTACTCTACTAAAGCAGACACAAAACCAAACTCAAACTTGGCACCATATCTATGATTACCAACAGACGTTACAAAACTAATACCACAGGAACGAATAATGTTACATAAGCACAATATTTAATGGGAAGCGCAAGTGTTTAGCACCAAAAAAGCCAATAACAGTTCATAAACTTAGTACAACATCCGAGATGCTCAGGAATGTTTGTGGCAGCAGCCATCATCTTGTGAAAGAGACAAACTTGTACTGGATGCAAAGTAACTGTCCTATAACCACACACCCATATTCCGGTGAATTAACCGACAACGCGCAAAGAACGCTTGACAAACGTAACGCCTTAGCTAGAAAGAAAAGCACATACTGCAACAAATAAGTGCAAGAGGGGAACATCACCTCAGCAATGCAAGGGAGAGCAGCTCAGCTGATCATTGGCAACAACAGGCTTGCTCGATGAGAATATTTTAACGCGCTACGATATGGTTGACAGTTTATATGAACATGACATGTCCCTTGTGGATTGATTTAACTTCAGAAAGATACAACTGTGATTGAGTGGCCAATTGCAAAAAAATTGACCATGATGTGTCTCGTCTTCTTCCGCCATCCCAGTTGCCAACATGCAGCTGCAGGAATTGTGCCCGGTGGAAACATCAGGTGACCATCCTCCTGGCTTCTTTCCTTTCCACAATACTGAAAAGCAACCTGCAAATGGGCGTCCTCAGTCCTCAGCCTCCTCAGCCAGGACATGAAATCCTTTTGTATTTTAAGAGTTCATTCAGTTTGTAGAAGAGTAAATGAACAGGCAGACGTCGTACGACGGTAGTTCCTCCTCGAAGTGGATGGGCATGTGCCAGCAAGTATGTGGTCATATATAGTGGTGTGTGTGAGGCCCTATGTGCCGTGAAAGTGTAATCTGTCCGGGTATGTCTTGTAGCAAATTTGGCAGGTACTTGGAGGTGCTTGCAGATGATCCTAGGTGTTCTTTTTCCATATGATCTGCTGGGTCTCCTGCCGTTCGGCACGATTGAACCACCGCGGTACTGGGCGAGTTGGCGACATGACATGCGCACGTGAATCCACATTTAGACAGTTCACAAATGAGCACAAAAATCAGTGCAGTTTTGAATGTGTGGTTCTCTAATCCTCTTCTCCATATATGCTAAACTGTGATGTCCCCAAGGGTTTGCACATTGTTCCTCCACTTTCTCTTTTTTCACTTCTCGATATAGTTTACCACAGCTCACCCTTTCCCTTTGCAGATGATGTTACTCTTCTCAATTCTCATGAAGTATCCCTATCCTTAGATGAGAACATGTCCCACCTCCAGCAGGATCTTGCCATCTTCCAGCATTAGGATCAGAATATCCACGGGAATGTGCTCCAGAAAATAATCTTTTCCAATTATGACATTCCTGACTGGTCCACATTCCTATTGCCTTTGGACGTTCTGCTAAGCATCATGGAGTACAGCTCGGTGATGGTTTGAAGTTCCATGACCATTTCCACACCATCGTCAAGACGTTTGAGCAACGATTCAATCTGTTATGCCTCACGTAATCAATACATCATTGATCCATTCTGAAGAACCATCGTAAGAAGGTAAATCAAAATAATCATGTTATAAATAAGAATAAAATAGCTGACGTTCTACAACTAACTGGCTATCAGCTTTAGCATATTATGATGGGCACTACAACAGCCTTCCAAAGTCGAAGGTTCTAAGTTACGTGACAATAATTATTGCCAATCTTTTGATGGACAATATGCAGGAGTAACAAGCAGCAGTTTCACAGGACGATCATATAACATACAACCTTCCAATTTGGAAGGCTGTTGAAGTACCCATCCAAGATGTGCTAGACCTGATAGCCAGTTAAATGTAGAACGTCAGTACTGTCGGTCAGTGGCATGCAATGTTATCCCACGAGCTGATTAATTAGTAACTGGTGGTGTCAGTGGACATTAGAGCGTAACTTGTAGTTCCTTAGTCCTTTTTCTTTCCTATAAACTTATGTCCTACCATGACAAATCCCTTCACAGAAATTGTCTATTTTTCTCCCGTTACACACATATTCATATACATAGCAGACTCAGCGGAGGACGTTCAGGTTGGTTTTAACTCTGAGTTTCATGCTGCTAGGCAATCATCAGACAACTGATTTACAACCAACCAACCTACAACCAACCTGAACGTCCTCCGCTGAGTCTGCTATGTACTAAGCTCTGTCTCTGACATTGAGCACTCTCTGCAGCTCGTTGATCAACGGATTTATTCATACATACATGTATAGCCAAAGGTAATGAAAGACCCACACACTCGCAACAAGTGACACTAGCCTGATCACTTACAGATCCCTTGCAGTGGACGCTGGACTAGTTGCTGATACTGGACTGGTAGCTGATGCTGGACTGGTTGCTGATGCTGGACTGGTTGCTGATGCTGGACTGGTTGCTGATGCTGGACTGGTTGCTGGTGCTGGACTGGTTGCTGATGCTGGAATGGTTGCTGGTGCTGGACTGGTTGCTGAAGCTGGTCTAGATTCCGAGGCTGGGTTTGTTGTTGACGCTGAACCAGTGGCTGATGCTGATGTATCTGGATAGGATGGGCGAAACGGAAATATGGTATCAGAGGAGTAACCTGGACACTCTGCTGCGGCTGCGCAGTCTGGACAGGCTGTGCATTCCGGGCAAGATGAGCGACCCCATCGGGCTGGACGGCCTGGGTTGGCGGGACGATCTGGGTAGGCTGTGCACTCTGGGTAGGCTGTAATGTCTGTAGAGGCTGTGCAATCTGGGTAGATTGTAATGTCTGTGGAGGCTGGGCAATCCGGGCGGTCTGGACAAGCTCGACTTGCTGTGAACACGTGGCCGGAGGGAGAAAACGGACCATTTGAGCAGGCTGGACGGTCTGGGCAGACTGGGCGATCTGCACATGATGTGCAGTCTGGGCAGCCTGTGCTTGCTGGAGGTATGGCACCGGAGTGGGAAAGTGACCCATCGGAGCAGGCTGAATGATCTGGGCTGGCTGACCAGGCTGGATTTGCTGGTAATGCGGAAGACGGGTGGGAAGCTCGACGACCTGGTTAGGCTGGACGATCTGCTCAGGCTGGACGACCTGGGGTTGTAGAGCAATCTGGCCAGGCTGGAGGACCTGGGGAGGCTGTATTGCCTGCATAAACTGTGCAGTCTGGGTAGGCTGATTGATCTGAGCAGGCTGAGCGATCTGGCTAGGCTGGACAACCTGGGGAGGCTGTATTGCCTGCATAAACTGTGCAGTCTGGGTAGGCTGATAGATCTGAGCAGGCTGAACGATCTGGTTAGGCTGGACGTCCTGGGATGGCTGGATTGTCTGTAGCGACTGGTCTGTCTGGACAACCTGGGGTTGTAGAACGGTGGAAACAGGCTGTCCCACCTGAGGAGGCTGTTTTGTCTGCATAACCTGTGCAGTCAGGGTGGGCTGAACAGCCTGACTGGGCTGAACGATTCGGGCCGGCTGGACGTTCTGGGATGGTTGGATCGCCTGTAAAGGCTGGTCTATTTGTACGATGTGCGACACGGATGCCCAAGTGTTTCTGACTGGCGATTCAGAAAAATCCTTCCCTCCAGATATATCTGGAAAATCTGACGACGGGCCGTAGAGCAACTTTCCCCTTCTTCTTCTCTAGTCTGAGCTTGACAACACGTTGAGTTGAGCGCAACTAATTCCCTTGTCCAGTAAGCGGTAGTGTGAACCGGAGCAAGCGATCAAGTGAACATATGTGTTCCTGGTCTGCAATACGTACTATTCAAACAGGACAGACAACCGACAAAATATCGTCACTGAAGTTCCCAAATTTGCAAAGTCCTTTCGAGCAAATGCGACAAGGCACACACTATTTTGAACTGGTCGCCTCCGGGATAAATCTCAATAATTATATTCTCATAGATTGACCAGCCAATGTCTAGTGTGAGTCCAAAGTAAGTGAAGATTGCACTGGGAAAGCGAGTGTCCAGCGCCAATTTTTAACAACGCGAACGGCGGCTTGAGCATTGCTCAATGTTGACGTCCTGCCCTTAACATTGGTAAAATGAAGCAGGCTCTACTTGTTATCTTACTAATTTCCTGCAAGATGTGTCAGGTTACGGAATAGTGGTAGCGGGATAAGCGAGGCACCCTGCATTGGATGCGACTAGTACTCTTCGCCATTGAACTGTCGTGAACTGGTAGCACTCACTGCAAGGGTACATGGAATCTTCATGACGGTGTAAAATTATAACACATTACTGTTTTGGGTGCGAAACTTGAGAGATGGAAATCCAGCGGCTGGGAACACTGGTGAAAAGGTAATTGGGAAGGTGTGACTTTTGTGACTTTTAAAATCGGCTCCTGTCTGTTGCTTGCCCGCTTATGATGACTGGTTTGCCAGGTCTAACATTGGCCTGCAATTTAGCAACTACAAAGCACTGACAGAAGACTGATATAGTTGCACTAACTACATTGGCAACTCTTCCTCTCCTCTCCTCCATGCGCTCTCACAGCCGACTCACTGCTACCCTCGGTAGCCATTACACACACACCAACCAAGGAGGGGTTGCAGGTGGATACTGAAATTCCTCCTGACAGCTGTTTCGCCTTCGTAAGGCTCATCAGAGAAGGTGATATTGAATAGGATGATATCAGGTGGAGATGGTCAGATTTATACTACAAAACATGGGCGCAAGATTACGGGCAAAGTGTGAGAATGAGAAGTTACAATTCTCCAGCAACACAGTGCCAGAGGTTCCAAGAAAATGGCAGGTGAGCAATCCAATCACAAGCTGCCAACCTCTCCAGCAACACAGTGCCAGGGGTTCCAAGAAAATGGCAGGTGAGAAATCCAATCACAAGCTGCTAACATTAATGTTCCAATCACAAGCTGCTAACATTACTGTTAGCAGCTTGTGATTGGATTTCTCACCTGCCATTTTCTTGGAACCCCTGGCACTGTGTTGCTGGAGAATTGTTACTTTTCATTCTCACACTTTGCCCGTAATCTTGCGCCCATGTTTTGTAGTGTAAATCTGACCATCTCCACCTGATATCATCCTATTCAATATCACCTTCTCTGATGAGCCCCTTATGAAGGCGAAACAGCTCTCAGGAGGAATTTCAAGATCTACCTGCAACCCTTCCTTGGTTGGTGTGTGTAATGGCTACCGAGGGTAGCAGTGGGTCGGCTGTGAGAGCGCATGGAGGAGAGGAGAGGAAGAGTTATTTACATTTTATTGGCCGAATAGTACCGTTCACCATTTGAAATAATAACCACATTGGGAGTCACTAAATGCAGAGTATAGCATTTTAAACAGACCTCGGTTAACATTTTACAATAGAATTTAGATATAGAACTTGGTTGATACTACTGGCACACAAATTGTGCCAACGAACTCAACCAATTTTTGTGCCAGTAGTATCCACCGTCATAGGTGGGGAGCGTTTCTCTGGCCAATATTCCCAAGAAGCACTACGGAATATCTCCTCGTCCTGCGACTTGCTATAAGATCGATCAAGCCTCAGTCAAAGGTGACCAGTTTCCATCCCAATATTATTAAAAACATTACCATTCTGGAGTCTGTGAACTCGTAACATGTACAGTTATTAGAAGCGGTGAGGCCTCCTGCAGTTTCATACAGAATTACAGATGGAGCGGACTCGCTCCCTTCTATTTACACTGCAACGTTCGAACACATTTTCGTAGTTAAAACAACGTTTCGGCATATAGCCCTCATCAGGTTTGCAATGATGTGCACTCTACAAAGGAGCAGCAAATATACTGTGCCGTGCTGTGTTTGCGCTAAATGTGTCAGCTACAAAGGTGGCTACAAGGGATTGGTGATATATTAATATCCAGATACGATATATTCACAGTAGTGCCCAGCCAGCATTAGTGTTTACTTGTGGCCGCAAGTTGCGGATTTCAACAGCTTCTCGCAGTTTTCTGCTTGCTCTGTCGCCTGCCCTTGCCAGGACTGACACAGCCGAGAACACACTATCCGCAGCAGCTATACTCTCGCCAGAATGTTTGTCGCGCACGTGGTCACCCCATGGCTTATCGAGAGTGCGACGGCGTGCCTCGCCATTGTGCTCCCGAATTCTTGTTTCCAAGGAGCGTTCCGTCTCCCCTACATACGTTTCCCGGCACCATTTGCATTGCAATTCGTAGACTACATTCTTTGTCATACATACTCGTTCGCCTCCAGACTGACAGGTAATGCAAGGCCCTAGTGGACGTCCTCTTCGTCTTTTTTCAGTAATGTTGGGCTCGTTTACGCACTTGGGTGGTAACAGCGCCGAACGGCACAGTTGACGCCTGAGGCTGCCCGAGTGCTCGTATACGACACGTACCGGCAACTTGTATTTCCGTATTGCTTTGTTCACATGGTGGTGTACTTCATCGGACTTGAACGGTAGTTTAAGGAAGGCAGAGCGGGGATTACCGCGTCGTCTACGCCGAGGTTTCCTGGCAGCTTCCCTTGCTTCCGATATGATACTGTCTGGGTAGTTATTTATGCGCAGTTGTTTGTGTATTTTTTGTTCGCTCTCGGCTTGCATCATGGGGTTAGACGATAGTCGCTGTGCCCTTAGGAATTGAGATTGAGCGACGGCTAACTTGATGTGGTGAGGAACTGCCGATGAATAATCCACCAGTAGGCCACTACTGCATGCCTTCTGGAACAATTTGAATGACAGCTCTCCGGTTTGCCCAACCGCGATCGTTACGTCCATGTAGTCTATGCAGCCACTGTCACAACTTAATTCATGCGTGAATTTGATACGTTCGTGGCTGGCGTTGAATCTTTCTATGAGCTCCAGAAGGCGCTGCCTACCATGTGTCCATAGGATGATGATATCGTCGATGTATCGTCTGAACAGAATAGGTTGGAAGGGTGAGTCCTGAAGAAGTCGTGTCTCAATGGTGTGCATAAACAGGATGGCAAATGGAGGTGCCAGGTTGTTCCCCATAGCAACCCCATCTAGCTGGTGGTAGATCTGTCTGCCAAATCTGAAGTAGTTATGACTCAGAACAAACTTCAGTAGTGTCCTGACTTGGGTCACGCTCAGCCCGAGCATATCAACTCTGTTACGGTGTTGCTCTAGCACGTCACTAACGGCATTCACGCCCTCTTCGATCGGTATGCTGGGATACAAACCCACCACATCCATCGTAGCCAGAATCGTTCCAGCAGGTGCTTTAAGGCCAGGGTATATGGTGCGGATATTGTCTAGCGCGCCTTTGGTGTTGATGAGGTGCGATGGGACAAATGCAAGCAGTTGATGCAATATGCGTTCGAGAACCACCGAAATTCCTGTGACTGGACTGTCACAAGCAGAGACAACAGGTCGGAGGGGCAAATTTTGCTTGTGGTCCTTTGGAAGACCGTATAGTTCCGGGAATCGTGTGTCATGAGGGAGTATTGCAGTCAGAAGATCAGGATCCATATTCGTGCATTGCTCTTCCAGTATGGATTTAACCTCTTTCTCATACGCAGTGATAGTTAGATCCACTTTTCTGTACATAGTGCTGTCAGACAGAAGTGCCTCTGCCTTCTCCAGGTAGAGTTCCTGTTTCATAGCTACTAGCTTCTTGCTCTTGTCGGATTGCTTTATCACTACACTGGGGTCATGACGAAGTTCTCTCAGTCCGTCGCGTTCCTCTTGCGTCATATTATGCTTGGGAGGTCTTTGTTTGCCATATGCTGCCAAAACTTCGTCCTTGAAGTTGGCCATCTTTCTTTCCCCATCCTGGCTCATTCTGGGCGGTTGCTTGAAGCCATGCTTCTTTAGCTTCCACAGCCTGCGATCACACTCGGTACCGGTATCGTGGTCGTCCTCTGGCTGGTCCACACCCTGAGGCCGCGCCTGCTGCCATCTCAAAGTGTAGGCCATCCGTTCTACGGAGGTGACCACTTCTGATTTCTCACGACTGGTTAACTTGCCCGTGGACGGTACAAAACCGGGTCCCAGTTCCAATACCCGTCTGGCATTGTCTGTTACACACGAGTCCATGACAAGCGTTCGCCGAGAATGCTCCATTCCCGTCCGGCCGGGACTACCCAGGGCTGTCCCACTCTGGTAGGACGACGCGGGCAAACATGCCTCATGCGCTTCCCTGGCATCTTCTTGGGCTTGAAGCCTAGACAGCTTCCATCGAAGCCTTGCATTGGTACGGATGCGCTCCTCCGTAACCACACAGCGCCGCAGGGCGCGAATACGCACGTAATCCTCCCTGGAAAACGACCAAAGCTGTTCGCAGAAGTACCGGCACTGTCTTGTACGGAAGTCCCTTTCTGCGCACTTGTCCTGTATTGCGTCGCTCAGAAGTCGGAGACAGTACTGGAAGCGTCTTTGCTGTCGAACACTCTTGTGCCTTGAGGCTCGAGGTGGCCGAACCGATTGCGTGATGAACCGTGGGATGATACGCTCCCGCCGGCATTGAAGAAGAAACGACAACTGGCACTGGCTCCTCTGGAGTTTGCACCCCCATTGCAAGTATCGGGAGCACAATGGCGAGGCACGCCGTCGCACTCTCGATAAGCCATGGGGTGACCACGTGCGCGACAAACATTCTGGCGAGAGTATAGCTGCTGCGGATAGTGTGTTCTCGGCTGTGTCAGTCCTGGCAAGGGCAGGCGACAGAGCAAGCAGAAAACTGCGAGAAGCTGTTGAAATCCGCAACTTGCGGCCACAAGTAAACACTAATGCTGGCTGGGCACTACTGTGAATATATCGTATCTGGATATTAATATATCACCAATCCCTTTCGCCACCTTTGTAGCTGACACATTTAGCGCAAACACAGCACGGCACAGTATATTTGCTGCTCCTTTGTAGAGTGCACATCATTGCAAACCTGATGAGGGCTATATGCCGAAACGTTGTTTTAACTACGAAAATGTGTTCGAACGTTGCA